TGATAACGATATCATTCCGGAAATGGCAAATGATGACGCTAAAGCTGAGAGTGGAACTATTTTACAAGAGTGCGAATACACAAATGGACTAAATTACGAGGAGATTGATGATAAAGGAGCAAACAATATAGAAGAAGAACCAGATATACCAGAAGAAGAACTAGATATACCAGAAGTACAACCAGATGTACATAATATAATCGATGACTCTCAAAGTGATAATGCATATCTTGATAAATCTAAAGAACTGCAATTCGTAGACAATTATGGTAATGATGAGAGAGGATCTCATTTACTGGAGGCTTGCAAAACATTAAATGCAGAATTTGATGACGAAGAAGAGGATGGAGCACGTTGTTTAGAAATCAATACACCAAAAGAAGTNNNNCAACCATTGAAGAAATTTCAGAAATTTTGATGAATGGTAACAAATACTCAGTTGAATGTGTTCGATAATTTAATCGTTTCTTCTTTTTTTGCAGGCTACCCAAAAAATCCAGAAGTACAGAAGAATTACGTAGCAAAAATAAAGGAAGTATTGTCGATTAATGATGATAAACTCGCAAGTCATTTAGCGAGCAATATTAAATATAAGGAGGACTTAAATAGTTTCGTGAATGAAACGTATGAAACTGAGTAAGTAAATCAACAGTGCACATAATCTCGAAGTTAAATATGTTTATTTGCTAGGATCGAGGAGCCGGATCCATTTAAAGTAACCTCAATGTAAGTACATTTAATATTGATGACAGGATAACAATAATTGATCTACGTTGATTGTTATAGGTACTGCGGGTGTTGCCGCAATGAAAATTTGAAGATTGATGAGATGATCGATTGCCCGAACGGTTGCTATTTTTGTAAGAATTGCGTCGTCAATAATATGCAATCGAAATATGCCGAAGGTTACGTAGACATGAGGTGCTTGAGGAATTGCGGAGCAAAGTACACAATCGGTCAATTGCAGGTGATTAAACTTTTTGTAAAAGAACTAATACAACTAACTACTCAACTAACCGTCGTTTTTTCTTTGTAGGATTTCATGAATCCAACTTTGTTCGAGAGGATATTAAGATTGTTGCAGCATTGCGAAATCGAAGAAGCGAAGATTAATGATCTGCACAGATGTCCGTTCTGCGATTACGCGGCCGTAGTGGAAGAAGCCATCTTCAATTGCACTGAGTGCGGAAAGGATTCGTGTATATTATGCAAAAAGGAATCTCATCCTTCGTTGCTCTGCAGCCAAGTGGAGGACGACGATGACGTCCGTAAGCGTACATTCATTGAAAATGAATTGTCCGAGGCTTTGTTCAGGTAAGTACAGCAGTACTCTTGTTAGTGTTATTTGAACATGTCATTCTCACTTAATCAATTTCGACATACCAATTAAGATATGTCCTATAAATATAGCTCCAGCATTTAAGCATATTCACCCCAAACATTTTAGCATTTAGATACAGGTGGAAAATATCAAAAACTAATTCGATGAACTTCTGATGCATTGAGTACAACATATGAAAAGGTATTATTTCAATATATTTCGTTCAAATTGTGTACGCAATGAACGTAATACCAAAATTACTTTTTGTTGATTTTTAAAAGTTATCTGGTTACTATATAATTAATTTTAAATTATTTAATTCTTGTTTCCTGATTCCATGTGTTGTATAATAATATGATTAATATAGTTACGTCTATGCTATTTGTTTTTCTAATAACTTTGATTTTGAACAGTCTAGGCAATTTGTTTTTAACCAAGTAGGTCTACATTTCGACATCTGGTGGAAGATTTCTTATCACATGGATGGTTAGTCTTCTTTCGTACAATACGTGTCTTAGCTTTGCTTTGTGCTCTTCAGATGTTTCGTAATGGTTCAACGAAAGTTGCTGAATTTTCGTATTATTGTTATTTTTTGTTGCTAAACATATTAGGCGTAGCAGGTTGAAATCATCAACCATGCGAAAACGATATACCATTATTAGCTTTATAACATATGATTTAATTTTGTGTCTGGGCACGTGAGTTGCATTAGAAGGCAACTCGATCCGCTTTTCTTTCTCAACTGCCCATGGTTTATTAATTATTAATACAATACAGTTTATGTCGATTCATAATAACGCCGCCTTGTGATTCCCCAATTTTCCTATGCTGGCTCGAGGCATATATCTAATGTAGGAACGGAACTGCGCCGTAAACCGAGAGCTAACCTCATAGAGGTTAGTCTTTAAAACCAATTCGGTACTTTATTTTCTCAATCACCGATCGAGAAACTTCTTTGGCCTTCAACATTTGCAAGAGTTCCTTTTATAGACATTTTTGCTTCACGTTATTGCGGGAGAACTTTACCTTGTAGACGAAAATTTTATATATTATATGTGATAAATGATTTTTGTTTTTAGAACCTGTCCAAACTGCAATCTTAAAATTATTAAGGAAGACGNNNNAAGAGAAATGCACGCAGCGAATGTTCGTCAAAGAGCGAGGGATGTAATGAATGAAGTCGGCGGTAATTTAAAAATTGATCCAACTACCGACATTGAAAAATTCTTTTGATCAGAAAATATTTCCATATTTATTTGATACTTTTTATTGTATAATGAAATTATTTTATAAATGAGTGAAAGACTTCTGCCCATAACCATTTGTTTACAATTTAACAATTATCTAAACAATCAAATAACTAAATTATTTATGATATTACATAGAATATCATCATTATAAATGTTAATATTAATTAAAAATGCTGTACACTAAATATACTCCAAACACTAAAACTGACAATTCGAGCATGCACCACACGACCCACAAACTGAAATAAATATTAAACATTATTGTATATAAAAAAGAGAACAAAAATAAATGTAATTGTACTTACATCCAGAGTTTAATCAGGTTTGTAGGTTTATCCGTTAATTTTTTATTCAAATAATGGACCAAAATGTAATGCACGTGGTCCAATAATAATTTTTCTTCAATGTTTACGTTGATATTTGGTGTTTTGACGATGAAATCATCATTGTGGATTGGAGCATCGACGATTGAATTTAGGAAGTTTGCGTTTCGTATAACCCATGAATTTTTCACAAAGTAATCGAGTAAATTGGTGAAACCGAATAATGTTCTTTGCAATTGCACCAAGCTGAAATGATGCTTTTATTTTGTTGAATCATTAATTGTTAATAAGAACGTACTGTGGTTTCTTTTTCTTTAGATAAATGAAACAATCACCAATTATAGAGGGGATAAGTTGAAAAATCGAGAAGTACATATAGTAGAAGATGTAAGAATCGAAAATCGTACATTTTGGATACCAATTCAATTCTGTCCTGGTTTTCTTAAAGACGTTAAAGAATGCCTTGTTCACTTCATGTAAATTGAATTCTATCAAATTACATCCTGTCCCATTGTAAATGCTGACTTCTTCATCGCTAATTGCAATTAAGATTATTTCGATTATCATTTAATATGTGACTTCTAACAGTGCTTTTAATAACAATTGTTCATGAAATATTTAAACATAAAATCATATCAACAATAAAATTATTGACTTTGAGGCTAATTGATAAATTAATTAATAAAACTTCTAAATTTTAACATTTACCTCAAACATTTTTTAATTGACACATTTTTGACATTGACATTCTCTGATTATTTAGTTAAAACAATCTCATATTATATATAATGTGAAAATAATGCATATAAAAATATGACATAACAATATAAATAATTGTCTATAAAAAAAAAACAATTGTAACCTTATCATTTAAAACATTTAATTCAACTTGAAATATAATCAAATTGACACATTTTTGACATAGACACGAAAGCCAATTGTCAGCAGGTACAAACAATTAAATGTCAGCTGACATATTATTAGAAAAATCTGTCAATAGATTCAAAATAAATCGGACATTGAAATTTTATTATAAAAAAAATATTTTTCTAATACAATACAATATATTAAATTCAATAAGTAACCAATACTAAGAAAAATTAGTTCTTTTGATGTTATTTCAAATATTTTTACATCAAGTGCCAATGTAAAAATCAGTTGTAAATATTCTAAACTGCTTGAAATTGCACCGCATTTAAATAAATTTAATAAATATGACTAAATTGAATTATTTATGATTTTACGTACGATTGCCCAGTTCCTTTCATCCAAATTGAATTTATAATGCCCTTTGAGATTAAATCAACCGGTACCGTTTCCCTGTTACTACCAGCAGGTACATTTGCACATTTCATGATTCCTTTGAATAACAAATACAATAATTAGCTTGTTGCTTAATTGTCAGTAACACAAAACCTGATAAAATTCCGATTAAGTAGCCGATTTGACCAGAGTAGCCCTCGCAATAACCGGGAATGTGATCTTCGTATATACCAGTAACTGAAAAAGAAAACTTTATTTTTGAAGAGAGCGGTAAATTATCTAAAGACAAACCTATTGCAGGTCTTAAAATAATAGTTGGAATCGTTCCGACACACAGATCTTGTACGGTTTGCTCGGCCAAAGCTTTCGTAAATGTATAGGTACTATGTTTGATGCCCTTCATTTTGCAAGTGATTACGTTCAGGGTGTGTCTGTCCATAGTTTCTGCAATTTCGATTATTTTCCTCCAATCGCCGTAAGGTGCGTACATTTTCTCCTCAATACAATGATTATCGTGATGACAGTAGCATGTGGAGACGTGCATTAAGATCTGCAATTACAGTGCTATCCAATTCACATATTCTTAAAGGTAAAGTTTATTTCTTACTGGTATTCTTTCCATTGACATTGCCAGAAGACAGATGTCACGCGTTCCTCTGATATTTATTAATGCAGCATCAGTCAAATCTGCGGTGAAAGTTATGGTGGCCGCGACGTGTATGATAATATCAATTTTGCTGCGAAGCATTTCAAGATCATCCTGAGATATTCCTGGAATATTCAATAAGTTACAATAGAATAACAACCGACACCAAATAACTTACCGAGATTGATGCTACGTATATCGCCTTCAACGTACTTCAGTTTATCTATGTTTTCCGGATGTAACACCTTCACAGAATCGAACAACTTAAACAAATTTATTTTAATCATTATTGATTGTCATAGGTTTGCTGCTGTACACTTTACGATTGTATTTGTTAATGTCAATATGCGAGTTTTGGGTGATACGTTTTTCTTGGTGCGAAGTAAGATGTAGATATTCCCAATGTCGGGACAACTTCTGAGCAGCTTCTCTATCAGCACCTTTCCTATGAACCCGGAACCTCCAGTCACGAAAACGTTTTTTCCGCGATAGAACTCTGGAATTGTTACGATCTTGTCAATCGAAGTCATTTTTAAGTTTATAGAAGTTACTGTCACTCGCCGCACTATAAATACGTATAAAAAAACACAATTTATGATACGCAATAATGCATGATAATGTTCATTATATGCAATTTCACCTTGGCTCTTCAAAACAATATAAATGCGGGATAATAATTTTGTTTATATCACCTTATTTTAATCGGACCAAGTTTGTCTTATCAATAATTCGAAATATATAAAATTCCTGTGAATAGTGTTTAATAAATATACTGATGACCGAGAAAGATAATTTTTATTAGTGATAATTTACTTAAGTGATATTTCAGTTGAATCTAAATCGGACAACAAAAAAATATATATTCGGACAACAAACACTCGGATAATGAACAACAATGAACGATTACTGAAAGGAGAATTTCTGGTCTCTGAAATTATGTAAGTGTTAACAATAGTATATTACTCTGAGAATCTTTTATCAGCATTTTTCAATAATTTTGTTAATAGTGAAATTTAATTGGTGTTTTCAAATTTGTTGTAATAGAATTGTAATTTATTGGATATTCAAGGAATATTACCTGAAATGCTTCACCGTAACGTCGATATTATCATACACGTCGTGGCCACCATAACATTCACTGCAAATTTGACTAATGCTGCTTTATCAAATATCAGAGGAACGCATGACATTTGTAACACGCCGTGTCTCCAGATCTGGCTATTACTACCTGTTTGCAGACTACAAAATAATGCTCAAGGAAAAGAGATTTTGCTCCAATGAAGAAGTGATTGCCAAAAGTGAAGCGTATTTTGAGGCCAAAGATAAATCATTCTACAAAAAAGTTATCGACATATTAGAGAAGCGTTGGAATAAATGTATCACCCTTGGTCTGCTATGTTGATGAATAAAGTCCAGTATTGTCTAAAAGTTGTTGTTTTATTGGTAACAAGATCCAATTCAAAAATAATCTTATAACCTGTAATAGGTTCATAAATTAATTATTTTCTGTGATTAGTATGTACGAAGATCAAATTCCCGGTTATTACAACGGTTTAACTGAAGATTACTTTATAAGCAACAACAGAACAATGTTTAGGCACAGGAATCATGAAATGTACAAATTTATCTATTGATTGTACTAAGGAAACGGTACCAGTTGATGCAATCTCGAAGGGTATCATAAATTCCATTTGGATGAAAGGAACCACATTTTATTTATGTATGGTGTAAATATGATTTGAAATATTAGAAAATTACCAATATCAGTAAGATTGTTTTTTTTAATAATAGTATACTAAATCCATATTTTTAAAGTTGTTTTTTGTATAAATCCCATTAACAACATAATATGGGTCATTGCTTTAATTTAAATAACCTTAGATGAATAAAAACAATGCACGAGAATATTTCAAACCGTATTATTTTAAATAATTATTATAATTTTTAATAACGATTCATGTTTCCAAACAAATAATAAGAATAACAGACATCATTTTTTTTTTCACCAAGTGAAAATAACTATGTTATTCAAGACAATCCAATGTTTATCTTAATATTTTATTGTATAATGAAATTATTTTATAAATGACAGAAAGGCTTCTACCAATAACCATTTGGTCACAATTTGACAATTATCTAAATAATCAAATAACTAAATTATTCATGATATTACATAGTATATCATCATTATAAATGTTAACATTAATTAAAAATGCTGTAAACTAAATATACTCCAAACACTAAAACTGACATTTCGATCATTCTCCACACGATCCACAAACTGAAATAAATAATAAACATTATAATATATAAAAAAGAGAAAATAAATGTAATTGTACTTACATCCAGAGTTTAATCAGGTTTGTAGGTTTACCCGTTAACTTTTTATTCAAATAATGGACCAAAATAAAATGCACGTGATCCAACAACATTTTTTCTTCGATGTTTACATCGATGTTAGGTTTTTTAACGGTGAAATCATCATTATGGACTGAAGCATTGGCAACTGAATTCAGAAACTTTGTGTTTTGTATATCCCATGTATTTTTAACAAAGTAGTCGAGTAAATTGGTGAAACCGAATAATGTTCTTTGCAAGCGCACCAAGCTAAAATGATAATTTTAATTGGTTGAATTATTAATTGTTAATATAAACTTACTATGGTCTATGTTTCTTTAGAGAAATTAAACAATCTCCAATTAAAGACGGGAATAATTGAAAAATCAAGAAGTACAAATAGTAGAAGATGTAAGTATCGAAAAGCGCCCATGTTGGATACCAATTCAATTCTGTCTTGGTTTCCTTAAAGACGTTAAATAATGATTTGTTTAAATCATGTAAATCGTATTCTATCAGATCACGTCCTGTCCCATTATAGATGCTGACGTCTTCATCGCTAATTTCAATTAAGATTATTTAATAACAGTTGTACGTAAAATATTTGAATATAAAATCTTATAAATAATAAAATTCAATTTTAATCTAATCGCTAAATTCATTAATAAAACTAATAATTGCTTACATTTACCTCAAATTTTTGACATAGAGGTGAAAGCCAATTTCCAGCATATATAAATATCTTGGAACGTACAAACAATTTATTGTCAGTTAATATTTTATTAAAAATATCGCAAGTTTCATAATAATTATATTAATCTTCCATTGATATTTTATTATAAAAGCAAATCTTTTTACATCAAGTGACAATGTCAAAATCAGTTCTAAATATTCCAATCTGCTTCAAATTGCACTGAATTTGCATAGATATAATAAATATGACTAAATTGAATTATTTATGATTTTAAGTTTTACGTACGATTGATCAGTTCCTTTCATCCAAATTGAATTTATAATGCCCTTTGAGATTAAATCAACCGGTACCGTTTCCGTAGTACTATCAGCAGGTATATTTGCACATTTCATGATTCCTATCAATAATAAATACAATGATTAGTTTGTTGCTTAATAAACATTGTCAGTAACAAAAAACCTGATAAAACACCGATTAAGTAGCCGATTTGACCAGAGTAGCCCTCGAAATAACCAGGAATGTGATCTTCGTATATACCAATCACTGAAAAGAATTAATTTATGAAGAGAGCGATTCATTGTTATAGGACAAACCTATTGAAGGTCTAAAGATAATAGTTGGAATCTTGCCGACGCACAAATCATGTACGGTTTGCTCGGCCAAAGCTTTCGTAAATGTATATGTATTATGTTTGACGCCCTTCATTTTGCAAGTCATTACGTTCAGGGTGTGTCTGTCCATAGTTTCTGCAATTTCGATGATCTTCCTCCAATCGCCATGTGGTGCGTACATTTTCTCCTCAATACAATTATTATCGTGATGACAGTAACACGTAGAAACGTGCATTAAGATCTGCGATTACAGTGCATTAAATTTTACATATTTTTAAAGTACAGATTAGCTCCCACCGGTTTTCTTTCCATTGACAGTGCCAGATGACAAATATCACGCGTTCCTCTGATATTTGCTAATGCAGCATCAGTCAAATCTGCGGTAAATCTTATGGTAGCTGCTATGTGTATGATAATATCGATGTTAGTGCGAAGCATTTCAAGATCATCCTGTGATATTCCTAGAATTTTCAATAAGTTACAATTGAATTACAACGCACAACAAATAACTTACCGAGATTGATGCTACGTATATCGCCTTCAACGTACTTCAGTTTATCTATGTTTTCCGGATGTAACTCCTTCACAGAATCAAACAACTGAAACAAGTTTATTTTAGTGATTATTTATTGTCCTAGCTTTTTGGCCAAACACTTTACGATTGTATTGGTTAATGTCGATATTCGTGTTTTTGGTGATACGTTTTTTTTTGGGCGTAGCAGAATGTAGATATTCCCAATGTCGGGACAACTTCTGAGCAGCTTCTCTATCAGCACCTTTCCTATGAACCCGGAACCTCCAGTCACGAAAACAGTTTTTCCGCGATAGAACTCGGGAATTGTTACGATCTTGTCAATCGAAGTCATTTTTAAGTCTGTAGAAGTTACTGTCACTCGCCGCACTATAAATACGTACAAGAAACACAAATAATGTTCATTATATGCAATCAATAGTAAATTTATTTCAAACATTATAAACATGTGTTTCACCTTGGCTCTTCAAAACAATATAAATTTATATGACCTTATTTTAATCCGACTAAGTTTGTCTTGTCATCGAAATATATAAAATTCCTGTGAATAGTGTTTAATAAATATATTGATGAGCAAGAAAGATCATTTGTATTAGAGATAATTTACTTAAGTGATATTTCAGTTGAATCTAAATCGGATAATGAACAACAATGAAGAAATACACTGAAACGTGTATTTCTGGTCTCTGAAATTATGTAAGTGTTAACAATAGTATATCACTCTGAGAAACCTTTATCAGAGTTTTTCAATCTTTTTGTTGATAATGATATTCAATTGGTGTTTTCAAAATTTTGGGCTGTTTTAGGAAAACAGATAGAAAAACTACAGTAATGTACATACTAGTTCTGAAAAGAATATGAATATGAATATATATAAAAAAAGTATATAATTACATCATAATAAAAATATAGCAATATACAAAAAATAAAAATAAGATTGACAGGACTAGACGCGCGATTTCTGGGTACATTGAAATTATGGAGGCACAAATACTGAAGAAAAGAACAAAACATTATAGAGTGTCAGGGAATATAAATTTAAACCCATTGAGACCAACAAAATAACAAAAGAATACACTAACGTTATAAAGGAACAAAATTATAAAATTGCAAATAATTTTAGAAAAAACACAAAATGGAATCTAAATAAAGTGGAAGAAGTGAAAAGAAAAAATAACAAAAACATATAAGATTTTTCTTTATTATGTCATTTTTTTTTAACTTTTAATCATTCACAATCTGCCACCATTTTGACAATGAGTTGAACAGTTTTTTTGACAATTAACAACAAAAAAGGAAATAAAAACAGAAAAACAAAATAACTAGCGTGGAGAGGAACGATTTCCCATTGTCTTCCCATTCTTCGCGAACTTGATGCCCAGTCACTTTCGTTTTGCTGCGATGTGCTTCTTCCACGTGAGCTGAAGATCCAGGAACATATCCAAGTATTTGGCATCGTCGGCTTGCGGAATCTCACCCTCTTCGGACAAGATTGGACGGATCCTCCGGAGCATTATGTCATATATTACATTTATTTTACAGTCTATTCCTATAAACATTAAGTAAGTCTTGTGGCTTTCTAATGGAAATTTTTACCATTATTTTCTTCTCATTAATTTATTGGTTGACTGTCGTCTATTGATGCTCAGCGATTCCACTTTTTCCTTTGTCTGTGTTTCTGCTGCTATCCTTAATACTGTCATTTCCATCGCTCTAAACTCAATATAGACCAAAATAAACTTGTCTCAGTTGTTCAGTGAAGGAGTTGCATCCGCACAATATAAAGAAACTAAAGTACTTTGAAGGAGATGTCGTTATAAGTGATTCTGGTAAGTTATTTATGTTGTAATAGAATTGTAATTTATTGGATATTACCTGAAATGCTTCACAGTAACGTCGATATTATCATACACGTCGTGGCCACCATAAGATTCAATGCAGATTTGACTGATGCTGCCTTAACAAATGTCAGAGGAATGCGTGACATCTATCATCTGGTACTGTTGTAACACGAACGTAAAAATGCACAAATTGTACTTTGAATTGCTTCCCAATCCACCGTGTTCTCCAGATCTGGCTATTACTACCTGTTTGCAGACTACAAAATAATGCTCAAGGAAAAGAGATTTCGCTCCAATGAAGAAGTGATTGCCGAAAGTGAAGCGTATTTTGAGGCCAAAGTTAAATCATTCTACAAAAAAGGTATCGAAATATTAGAGAAGCGTTGGAATAGGTTCATAAATTAATTCTTTTCTGTGATTAGTAAGTACGAAGATCAAATTCCCGGTTATTACGACGGTTTAATGGAAGATTATTTTATAAGCAACAACTGAACAATGTCATCTATTACGCACAGGAATCATAAAATGTATACATTTATCTATTGATTGTACTAAGGAAACGGTACCAGTTGATGCAATCTCGAAGGGTATCATAAATTCCATTTGGATGAAAGGAACCACATTTTATTTATATATGGTGTAAATATGATTTGAAATATTAGAAAATTACCAATATCCGTAAGAGTTTTTTTTAATAATCGTATACTAACCATATTTTTAAAGTTGTTTTTTGTATAAATCCCATTAACAACATAATATGGGTCATTGCTTTAATTTAAATAACCTTAGATGAATAAAAACAATGCACGAGAATATTTCAAACCGTATTATTTTCAATAATTATTATAATTTTTAATATCGATTCATGTTTCCAAACAATTGATAAGAATGACAGACATCATTTTTTTCACCAAGTGAAAATAACTTAGTGGTCTTAAACTTTTTATTGTATAATGAAATTATTTTATAAATGACAGAAATACTTCTACCGATAACCATTTGGACACAATTTGACAATTATTTAAACAATCAAATAACTAAATTATTCATGATATTACATAGAATATCATCATTATAAATGTTAACATTAATTAAAAATGCTGTAAACTAAATATACTCCAAACACTAAAACTGACATTTCGATCATT